AGGTGAGGTATAGTACATCATCCATTTGTGAATAGAGGTAGGTTTTGAGGATTGATGGTAGGAAGTTGGGTGAGTTCTCATCTCAATAAACGTTAAATGAAACTATTTTTTTTTCTGTCTGACATACTGCAAGTCATTCCAGCGAATTAAGGAGAAAGTAGTAATGTCAGATGTTTGAGGACATGAAAATTTAAAAGGCCATTGAGATTACTCAGAATAAAAAAGAGGAGACTGGAGTTATACAGAAGTCTTCTGGCCAGTGTTGAAAACTTATTTGAAGTTAGAGATCATGATAGTCTCTAACAAATGATGGAAATAACTTAAGAAGTCAGTATATGGAAGCAATGAGATGATACAGAAGGTGAAACAGTCAAAGGTATGTCTCACCCCAGAAGAGATTTTTAAGACGAATTATCGGGTTTTATTACAAAATGATGATTTAATGTCAGAGAAACTTGATTGTGAATCTCAGCTACTAGGTATATAAACGTGCGCAAGTTAGAGTCTCTCAAAACTTTGATTTCATCACCTGCCAACTGTAGACACTTCATCTGATTGTTGTGAAATTAATTGAGTGATACAATACATATCAAGGGCTTAGCATTATGCCCAGCACACAGTAAATCCTCATTAAATGTTAAATGTTTCAATAAAACACTTAATGATAAGATTTTAGGATGTTGGAGTTTGTTTTCTATGAAATAGGTATTATAGAGGGCAAACTGTAAAGGTCTAAAAGGGAAGAAAAAGTAGGAAATTCAGTTTAAAGAGAAAAAATACAGAGTATTGTGAAGATAAAAGTATTAATAGATAAGATCACTGGAATACCTTACTTCTTAGACAATGACCAAAGATAACAAGTAGGTGAAGCATGATAGAGTGAGCTGGCCATAAAGTTGAACAAACAAAAGTCCCAGGAGTCCTCTGGGGGATAAAAAGGTAAACAGTCTGGTCCTTGCACACTCTAGTTTTGGGGGCTGGTATAAGGGTTCTTAAGATTTACAATTTAAATTCTACAAGTAGGTAGTTGAGGCAAGAGACTCAGAGGAGGGAGGCCAAACTTTCCCTCTGACTAATCCTAAATAAGTACTCTCTACTTTAGAAGGGCTTACCATCTAGTTATTACATAAG